ACATATCAGCGGATTTATGGAATCACAAAAAATTTTGTTTGTCAAATATGTGAGTCATGCTAATTGACGTATGATGATAGTAATAGTGATTAGCTTTAATATTAGTATTTAATAATAAATTACAATAACAAGAGTTAGTACTTGATATCTTTTTTACGATACATAAAATAAAATGCCTAAAACTAATAAGCAAAATTCTACAATTGTAGTAAAAACTTCAAGCAATATATTTACTTATGATATTATTCAAGAAGGAATATATCCTAGTAAAGATATTCTTGCTTATACATCAAAGCCAAACCGATATCGAATTCCTCATAATTATATTGTTAAAACTTCTTTCGGAAGTAACCAATTACGAAAAACTATAATATGTTCGATTCAATATCAAAATAAAATACCTGAATTCAAAATTGAATTTATGTATAACAATAATACTGAAATCGTTACATCAAATAAAAGTGTATCAAACACTGCGAATCTTTATATACAACAATATTATAAATTAATTTCTGCTGATATTGAACAAAAAACTGGCCAAAAGCCTAAACAAAAAAAAACTAAATTAAATGGTGTGTTTGTCTTTGGACTTCAATTAGAACAAATTAGTAAAATTCGGGATAAATGGTCTTCAGCAAAAAGATGTAAACCATTTGAAGATCTTGGTAACTCAATGCAGTTAAAGCGTAGTAAAAAATTTGGAAATCAGATTTTAGATTTATTTGAAGAACAAGTATTACAAACATTTAATGAAGAAGATAAAGTTTTACTTGAAGGATTAATTTTTTCAGTAGGTGCACGAAGATTTCATATAAATTATAGAGAGTTAAATAGCAAAGATACTGATTTGCAAAAACAAGCTGTTGTAAAAGCAATGGATATTGGAAGAGTATCACGAAATACATATCGATTATTAGCTGCAATTGGACATGATCTACCAAGAGAATGGGCTGTTTCTGCAATGCAACAACAAATTAATTATCAAATGTCAATATTTGTTCCAATTCATTTAATTGATTTAAATTTATCACTATTTCAAAACTATTCTGAAGAAAACAATGAAGAAAC